TGTGATACATGGGACGTGTTAATAGCAAGTCTTTTCTATTTTTAGTAGTTAGCTTCTAAGTTGTTTTCTATCTAAAAAGACCATTGCATTTTTTCTTTTGGCAGTGTTTAGTTTCTTCTCCCCTCTGATAGCACTGTATTATCAGAAGTTGTATTTGGATTGGGCTAATTTAAACTTGGCTCATGTCCCATGACTCTATGAGGAAAATGCTATTTCTTTTTCACACTTATGCTAGTCCCAGTTGCCACCCCACTGAAGTTTTCAGAGCTAATGTTTCCTTCCAGGGCTGTGTCCCCTGGGATGGGGAAGACTGTGGTTGGTTACATTTATCCTTACTGCCATCTCCATTGCTGCCATCAACAAATCAAGACATTGAATTTTGGAACTTTTTCTTCAATATTGAACAGGAAGGAAACTGGGGCAAGGCTAATGTCACACCTGCCGCAGTCAGGTCCCTTAGGAAAGAAAGACCCTCAACTGCATTTTGGTGAAGTGATAGTTTCTTTTACTAAAGGTTGCTGGTTGCAGTAAAGTCAAACCAGAATTAAGATTCATTGGTACAATGAAGTATAATCTTCAGTACCTCTGCTAAGATGTAAATTGTATAAGAAACATCAGACTTATAAATTATATTGGTTGGTTGAAGAAACTTTCCAGATGAAGTTTGAATGACTCAACTCATTTCTATCAGCTACTATTTTCTTGAAATTGTCAGTTTATTACTCTTTTTTTCCCATTGTATTGTTTAAAAGAAGATTTAGGAAAAAGAGAAATATGATCATGAATTCAGTGTTGATGGAACTCTGAGAAAAAAAATCCCCCCAAATCTTTTTGTCTTAAGATTTATATTGGGCCCAAGTAGCTCAAATACAGTAGAGCTGTTCCTAAGTAAAGCTTCAATTGGCTTCATTGCAGAGTTTGTTTCAGCTGTTGTGGACAGTTGTGGTTATTCTAATAGTGGAGGAGGCCCACCTGATGAAGATTCAAGAGAGATTACAGGGAAAATGTTAATATTTTCACATTGTAAGAACTCTATACCACTATAAAGAATTTTCCTGTTCATTAAGATTTCAAACAGTCCTGATTTTTAGGGGGCAAAAATGATTTCTAAATATCGCTAAACCAAACAAGAATTCAAACAATATGACATTCTACAAGTCTACTGAATTGTTAAATCATGACTTTTAAAGCCAGTAAAGTACATAAATGCATTTGTAAATAATGTATTTCTTGACAAAGAATTGTGTATGTGTCTTCCTCCAGACAGTGACATGGCAAGAAGATATTTTGGCATCCTTGACACCCCGTCACTTGGCATCCCGTCACCATTAGTGCTCAGCAACAAGCCATGCAAATGGATCTGACCTTGCACTATTCATTTGGGACAAGCTATGGATTTCCCTCCAGGGAGAAAAAGTACCTCCCCACCACCACCTCCACCAAATGACTTGGGATGCATTTGGGGCTGGAAGGCAAGGTGAATCTTGACCAATGGTTAAAATCAAGGGTTTACCCTTCTCTCAATCCTGATCCAAATTGTCTAATAAACCAGGAAAGGTCTTGCTTTACAGGAACAGCCACACATTGCCTGCAGAATTTCATCCCAGGGTTAGAAAATAGAAGCTTCTGGTCTCTTCATATCCTCTACTAAGCAATGCAACTTCCATCCCATCCAGGTAAATTGTCTCTTCCAAAACCTTTTCACCACCTTCTCAGCAACTTCTCCGAAAAAGGGAAAGTTGGAGACATGCCCATAGCTGTGGTTGGTATAAAATTGACAAAAGATCCACATGGTTATTCTGGAAACAATGATCTGCAGTGTTTCCTGTTATCAGTTAAGACAGTTGCGTTCTCTACTGTGCACCATTAAACTTTAAGAAGAAACAACTGAGGAAATCTCTGTCCTATTTTGATCAAGTCAGGATCAATTCTTAGTGACCACATATATTTTCTCCATGACTTTCTGTCCCTAACTTGGTCTTTCAGTTTTTCTAACGGTGCATTCCCTGCCATTGTAACTAAGAACATCAACCTTGCTACAGATCATCCTCTTTCCTTTCCTTCTACTCTTCCCTTCATTAGATCCTTCTCCAAAAAACTAGGCCCCCAAATCCAAACTTTTTTGTAATGCCAATCATTCCAGATTTATCAGTTCTTTCAACTTCTAATCGCTTGTTTGAAAAACTATGCTTTTTTAAAAAATTCCCACCAAGCACCTCTTGACATTTCAGGATATTAAATTGCAGCAACTGCAATGAATGGTCATGTCTACAAAATGATACAAATGAAGACATAAAGAGTTTATGGTAATCGAAAACTGGTAAGCTGCAGTGTAGATTATGTAAATTGAGGAGCATTCAGAAAAGATTTGCAGTGTTGCATAATTTGTTTCATGTGTGTAAAGTTTGCATCTGAGCAGATGATTGAAACAAAGTGGAGTCCTTGGTGCCTCCTGAGTTCGGTTGTTCTTTTGCAGACATTTCATTAGCAGACTAGGTAACTGTTGTATCCTGAGCCTGCAAGAGCTGAAAGCAGGCTCAGAATGGTTGCAAATGGTCCCGGGCAATCCAAAAGCTGCCTGGAACCAGACAGGGTGGCGCCAGCCTTGTGCGCATGCACAAGGCATGAAAATGGTCAATTCCTATTGGTTCACACTGTCCAGATTTCAGGCACTATAAAAGGCCTGCGTGCCTTTTGCTGTTTGCTTGATTGTAGGAGAAGAGTAATAAAGAGCTTGTTGTTTTCACCATGTGTCTTCGTCAATTGCCAACAAACAGAAAACACAACACTAACACCTTCAATGATGAGACTGAAGGAGTCCGCAATTCAGTGAGCTACATACACTACATATGCACTTCTATTAAAACACTTATTCATTTCCTTATACAAACAATTAATACAAAAACTCTAAGGGGATTAGCTTACATTAGAGTTTTCTGAATTCCTTTGGTAGGATTTGTGTGCCATGATTTTGTACCCTAATTATGGTGATCAATGTAGTGGTAAAAAACAATCATCTACATATCTTGTTGATTTTGGAAGAAGGCAGGAATATATTTGTAATCCATCAAGAAAGTTATTACAGTAACTTTTTCTTAATCATTATCAGGAGGAAAGTAAATCTTAGCAGGTGGATAAAATTATGGGTTTAGCCATTTGTCAAATCTGGTTTGCACTATTTGAAAAACCAGGAGATATACTGCTTTACAAGGACTACTCACTCCATCCCTCACATTGTCTGCAGAACCTGATCTACAAGAATAGAGTACAGTGATAGTCAGCCTCCTGCTGACTCAAGGACAAGATGACAGGTAGGCAAGTCTGTGATTACCTGGTGTCACACCGTGCTACTACTTGCTTGTCACACATTTTAGAGACTGGCAGAAGTGGGAAGAGTAAGCAAACTGTGTCCTTCTCAAGATGTTACTTAACCCAAGAGGGACCACTTTTTTCAAACTGGAATAGCAAAAGAGAGGAAGATAAGAAAAAGCAGTAAAAAAAACCCCATATGTCCACTTCTCCCCTGTTATCAAAACACATTCAGGCTGTGGTTAGCTGGACCTAAATAGGAATCTGCCTCTAGAGGCATAAAGACTATTTGGTAGAGTATAATGGCCATTCTTTCAAATTTCATTACTGTTGGGATTTGAATATTATTTCAGTTTGGAAATCTGCTCAGCCCTTTCTTTCTTTCTTTCTTTCTTTCTTTCTTTCTTTCTTTCTTTCTTTCTTTCTTTCTTTCTTTTACTATTCTGGTTTATCTGACTTTACAATATAAATTGTATTATATATTAAATTAATTATACACACACACACACACACAAACACACACACACACACACACATATATATATATATATAACATATAAATATAAAACTTTGGGAAAATGAAATAGGTCCTGTGACACAAACCAACCCAAATCACAAAGACAGTGATAATGGACTCAACACACATGCACAAACACATACAAAGAGCAAAACATGTTACCGCTACACCAACTTTCTGATCTGGGACGTCTGGAAACCCCCCTTCTAAAAATTCTTGGACTCTGTCAAGCTCATCAGGTACAGCTACATATTGCCTGCAGTTATAGAATAATTATTGGCTATTCCAGTTGCTTCCTATGTCTCATGGGATTACGTTTTCATTTTTCCAGTCCAGTGTCAGAAGCTTTAATCCCACACAGGGATCTAGCAGCTTCTGTATCTCACTGAGGCTGGTGTCAAGTACCTCCCAACAGTTGTGGAGAACAGCTGTTTGCCTAACTCTCTCAGGGTTCCGCTTGATTTCTGATAGTCAATGCCTTGGAGAGAACCCCAAGGAGTTGTGATTGTCTTGTATCCCAATCTGCACACAAGATCTGGGACATTATAGAGAGCTGCGGAGCTGGCCTTAAACAGAATATTCAAAAGCTCTTGCAGAAACACTAAGAGCAGAGGTATCCCTTCAGCCCTAGAAAATGAGACTTGCTTTGATTCCTCCTTGATGAAAAGGCCATTGGAGAAAAAAGGTAAAACATAAACATTCTTGCAAGATTCAGTTACTATAATGAAAAATAGTTCTCGTGTTCCTATGGAATTGGTTGTCTGGTCTGGTCTAACTTGTAGATTTAACACACATATAGGCATCTTCCCCCCAAAGTGGGAAGTGCTGTATTTTACTATTTTTTACAACTGAGGCCTAGTAGGCATTCTAACAATAACCAACCAGATGATCCACAGTAGAGACATTGGTCTTTTGAGTAATGATATAACTTGTATTTGGCAATAGATAGTCCCCTGCAGAATTCCAAAATTTCAAGACTAAATTTCAAGACTAAATTACTTTATTCCAGGGTGAATATTATAGTAGAGGGATAGGGTTAGTAAATAGATAACAGGATTAGTATATTAAATAAATACATCTATATACTCACAGGTTAGAAACAATACAATAGTAAAAGCAATTTTATTATTGGAATTTTATTTTAACACTCAGTAGGAATAAAACAAGCTGAATATTATTTTCTGGCCAAAATGACATCAAAGACATTTCCTTTCTTGAACTGAATATCTTTAAAGCCAGCTGTGTTGAAGAGTATGCGATGCTCTGATACTTTCCGTGCTTTTCCTACAGTCTGAAGCAACAGTATCATGGCATATATATGACCAGGAAAAGACACAGATATTTCTTCATCAATAGTTGGTTCCACTACTAAGATTCCACCACCTGTTCCAAAAGTAATTTGTTAACTCAAAACTAAGTTGCCTATAAAAGAAGTGCTGTCTTTGAATCTTATTTTCATTCCTATGGCTGTGGCCCTTCTCCCACTACTTCCCCCCCCCTTCTAAAAATATTGTTTTGGACACTTTTTCAGTAGGCTAAATCCATGGTCCAATTTAGTGTCTTAAAAGATATTGAAATGTTATGCCAAATTGCAATTCCTTCAGCATTGCCTAACTCATAACATATGACCACTTCAGCCTATTTACCACAGAATTGTTCCCATGCTCTGCCTATATTTCATGATTGAAGAAACATGGAACTTCTAAGCAATCTTTCCTCAAATTAAATTCAGTAATAAGTGGCATTTCTCTGTCTTGGATGGTAATGGTTCAATGTTGCAACCCAAAGTGCCTATTTCTTCTGCAAGTTTAGATTTAATATTTCATAAATTTTGTTTGTGCTTTGAAAATGTCAAAGTTATCTCCAGGTGATTTTAAGTTTAAAAGTGAGCTATCACACATATTTTTCATGCAAACAGATCCATTTCTAATGTTATTATGTAGAAAAGTATGAACTGTCTGTATCCAAATCTATCCATAACTGCAATACATTGAGGATCAGCACTAATACAACTGATTTCTTTGCAACTACAGGTAATCCTCAACTCATGATTGTTTATTCAGTGACTATTCAAAATTATTAAGGTGTTAAACAAAGGGAGTTATGACCCATGCCTAAAGTGGTTGATTGGTTGGTTGGTTGGTTGGTTGATTAGATTCATGTACCACCCATTTCATCTAAAAGCTACTCTGGGCAATTTTGGGGGAAAATATGGCTATTGCATTGCCCTCCCCCCCAGTCATATGATAAAATATTGATGCTTGGCAATGCATTTACACCTCAAAATGCTGCTATCATATCCTGACCACCAATCTCTCTCCCCATCTCAGTTGTCACCTACCCCTCCAGTACACACAAAGCTCCTAGAATCCCTGAAAACCTGGCTCTGCTCCCTGCTCATTTCTCCCCACCCATCCAGAAGGCCAATGCTTTCTCCCTGCACCCCCCCCCCATTCCCTGGTCTATTACATTTGTCTTTTTGTGCATCTGTTGGCAGATTTGCCAAGCCAATGTGAGGCACAGCCAAACAGATAGAAAATAGCTGTTTCTGAAGAAACCCTACCACATAAAGCAGAGAGAACTCCTTTATGGGGTGAAGAAAGAAAACTAGATGCTGAAGAATTGAACTTCCTTTCTCTAGGCAATCACAGTGGTTCCCTTTTGAACATGGAGTGGAAGGGAACTCTTAATGTTGGGTCAGAGAAATGAAGCTCTTATCCTGAAGAGTTTATCCAAGTAAGTGCAGAAGTTTCTTTCCACAGATGGAGGCAAGGGGAACTTTTTCAGTAGACTGAAGAAAGGAAACTAGGATGCTGAAGATCTGAACTTACATTCTTTGGCCCAGCACAGTGATTCCCTTCCACACATGAGGGCCAGGGGAAGGCCTGCAGTGGGTCAGGGAAACAAAACTCTGTCTCCAAGGAAGATGTGTTATAATTCTTCCAAACAGATTTATTTATTGTTCCACATTTATAGACAGAATTTTGCCAAACTGAAGTGGACTACTACCTATGTCCATGATGGTGAACCTATGGCATGCGTGCCACAGGTGGCACGCAGAGCCCTCTCTGGGGGCACATGCGCCATCACCCCAGTCCTAGGACTTCAGTCCCGTCCATGGGCAACTTGCATCAATACCTGCACAGGGTAAGGTTGCTGCACCCGCCCCACCTCCCCAAGTGTTTTTTTACTAGCCTGCCTTTCAGCTGCATTCCATTTCTCCATTCACTTCTCAGCCTTCGCCGCGTGTTTGTGGGACTATCGATAAAAAAAAAATTCCATCAGACTTTCTAACTTCTCGCGAGATCTCAAGAAGTTAGAAAGTCTGATGGAACTTTTTTTTTACCGATAGTCCCACAAACAAGTGGGGAAGGTTGAGAAGTAAATGGAGAAATGGAATGCAGCTGAAAGGCAGCTTAGTAAAATAATGCTTGGGGGAGGCAAGAGCATCTGGGCTGGGCAGGTGCAGCAATCTTACCCTGCGTGGTGATGAGAGGGTGTAGCTTGTGTCCTTCCCATGCCAGGCCAGCCCCTGCAGCCCCGGGGGGGCTGTGCTGGGTGGTGGTGGGCAGGGTGCTGAGGTGGGGGCCAGCAGGCTAACCAAAGCAGCAGGTGGAGCGCTGGAGGCTCAGGGAGGGCGGGCGCTGAAGTGGGCGATCAGGCCATTGGCAAGAGCAACATGTCTGAGCAGAAAGCAGCCTTGGAACAAGTGGGGCAGGTAAGGAAAGAAATCCTCACTTCCCCCAGAAATTGCCTTTCTTTCCTTACCTGACTTTCAGCCCCGTGCCATTTATCCTTCGCAATCCACCGCCACCATGTGCAAGGAAACAAAGGAAGGTCTTTTGGGGGGGAAAAAGGTCAATCAATGAATTTCATCTTCTCATGAAAGATCATGAAGTTGGAATTGATTTATTGACCTTTTTCCCCCAAAAACCCTTTCTTTGTTTCCTTGCATGTGGCAACGGCGGCAGATTGCAAAGGAGAAACAGCACAGGGCTGAAAGTCAAGTAAGGAAAGAAAGGCAATTTCTAGGGAAAACAAGGATTTCTTTCCTTACCTGCCCCACTTGTTCTGAGGCCATTTTCCGCTCAGACGCGTTGCTCTTGCCAATGGCCTGACCGTCCACTTCAGTGCCCTCCCTCCCTGAGCCTGTGGTGCTCCACATGCTGCTTTGGTGGCTCTGTAGGCAGATCTGCGAAGTTTCACAGCTCTGCCTACAGAGGCACCAAAGGTGTAGCTGAATGAGCAAGTGAGGGGGAAACCATAGCCGCTTTCGGCCGAACCGCATTGCAGCAGCATTGGATGCAATACGTGAGGTGGCAAACAGCTGTGTCATGCTAAAACCAGCAGTTTGGCACCTCCTGCCCAGTGCCGCTGCCATGAAGTGCCCCTCTGGCTCCTAGGAGCTGTGCTAGCGTCCTTCGTGCTGGGCATTCTTTGCGGTAAGTTTCTGGAAAGATTTGCAATGGGGGTGGGTGCAACGTGCAAGAGGGAAAATGGCTACAGCCAGTGGCAAACAGCCACATTGCACTGAAACTGGCCGTTTGCCACCTTCTGCCCAGTGCCACTGCCATGAGGCCACAGAATAAGCCGGGTAGCAGTATACCAGTATACCAGGTCCTTACCTCCACCCCGCTTGTTCTGCAGCCTCATGGTAGCAGCATTGGGTACGATGCGCAAGGCGGCAAATGACCACAGCTGGTGGCAAACAGCCACATCATGCCAAAAACTGAGGGGCCAACAGACTGTGGCTGCTGATGGACACAGTTGGCCCCCATGCGCTCGCTGTGTGCGGGGACCGATGGTGTCAGGCAGCATCGCCTTGCCTTGACCTGCCTCGCCTTGCCTTGACCTGCGGCAATGGTACCCCTGCCCCACCCCCTGCCTCTTCTCGCCTCACCCTGCAGGACAAGCCTCCTGCCCACCATCCCACCTGCCAGAGACCCCCTGGATCTCCCCCAACCCTGCCTGGCCCCCAGAGGCATCTCTCCCCATGAGCAACATCGAGGTGGCCCCACCCACCCAGGCCATGCCCACCCAGTCTGCTATGACCACTGCAGACATGCCCACCCAATGGACCACACACACCCAATGGGCCAGGCCACCCGGCACCTGACGATACATAAGTGGGTTTTGGGTTGCAGTTTGAGCACTCAGTCTCTAAAAGGTTCGCCATCACTGACATATGTAAATCATATTCGCTGGGAACTACTAGGGTTCACCCTTTTCTCTCCCACAATCTATCTGAACTGAGTCCTCTGGAATGTGCCCCCTCCTTCCAGGGAATTTGCTCCACTACATGCCATCAGACCTTCCAAGCTTCTTTTCTGCAGCCCATGGAGAGTAATTGCCTGCCCTCTTTTGGGTATGCAATTTTTCAGTCTGACTACCCAATGATCCACACAGCTGCTTAAAAACCCCAACTTGGAGAGCCAAGATTGCAGCCATTGAATAAATTAATCTTATGTGAGACTCTTAATGACTGCAATGACCTACAACCAAACTTCTGAGCCCATTTTAGGTCATAAGTCAAATACTATCTGTATATTGTCAATGATTGTTGCAAGTACATAAAAAAGTCATGGAGGGGCTTGCTTCTTTTCCCATTTACAAATGGCAATTTTTCTCTTTCTGGCAATGTAAACATGCCTACCTGGTTTACAGGCTGTAAATACTTTTGTTAGTAGCTGGATACACTTTTCATCATTCCAATTAAACAAGACTCTTGATAAGATGTAAAGATCTGCTTCAGGAATTGGATCTTTAAAAAAATCTCCTGCAAAAAGAATAATTCCTTTATTAAGGTAGGAATCTATTATCACCTTGGAAACAGAATTTATTCTCCTTTTCACAAATCCTAGTTCTAAAATACTACTAGTTTCCTTCAGTATTGCTTTTTGAAATGGCAATGATATTGTTTCAAAACAAATATTACCTTCATGGAAAGCGATCAGGGATTCATCTGAAAATGCATTATATTTTTTAGATATTTCCACAACTTCAGGAAGATCAAAAAGTTTCACAGTACAATTTGGGTATTTTGAAATCAATTCCTTAGCTAAGCCACCACTACTTCCTTGAAAAAAGAACAAAATGCAAAAATGAACTATGTAAGAAAAAAATGTCCTGCATGTAAGCATTTTACTAGAATATTTATTATGCCTTTTTAACTTACCACCTTGCTTTATTTTTCCTATAGTTGGGCTAAGCAGGCATTATAATATTGTGATTTAAAGAAATATATTCAATCCACTCCCATCCAGTGATTCTTTTTTTTTTATTATTGAAAATTTTTAAGATTTTACAATACAAAAACAAAACAATTTTCCCCGTCCCTCCCCAACCCTCCCCTTCCCTCCCCCGACTATCCCAGAGCTGGATATAGGCTTAATTAGAGTTTCTTCAAAAAATCTTAAGAAAAGTATAAAATATAAATAAATCTAGATACATTACTTAAACGAATTACTAAATAATTAACAACAATATATATGTAAAAAAAGAAAAACATAAATACCAGAAAAGAGGGGAAAAAAAGGAAATACATAAAAAATATGAAAAGAAAATTAATTTTTCAATATAAGTTATAAAACTATAACCAAATCTAAATACATTACTTAAACAAGTTATTAAATAATTAAAGATAAAATATATATAAAAAGAGAGAAATAGAAAAGAGGAAAGAAGAAAATAATAATAATAATAATAATAAAAGTTTGGCTTTTCAAGAAAATTGGCTTTTCAATATAAGTTATTAAAAAGCTAAATAATATTTTTTAATATCCATCTTGTGTTGTATAAAATCTATCCATTTCCTCAATACCACAACATACTTCTCTTGAGATTGATCCTTTAGGAAAGCCGAAATCTTTGCCATTTCCGCCAGATAAGAAACTTTAAAAAGCCACTCTTGCAAGGTAGGCAGAGATTCCTTCTTCCAACATTGTGCTACTAACAACCTTGCAGCTGTGATTAAATTTAACATCAATGTGATATCTTTAGTATCACAATCTGTAACAATACCTAATAAAAACAATTGTGGGGTAAATTTTACCCTCCTTCTAAAAATTCTTTGAATATTCCACCATATCTTAATCCAAAAAGCTTTTATATTTTTACACGTCCACCAAATATGATAGTATGTAGCATCCAAACTTCCACATCTCCAACATTTAGGCTGTAGATCAGGATACATACGAGACATTTTTTGTGGATCAAGATGCCATCTATAAAACATTTTATAAAAGTTCTCCCTTAAATTTTGGGCTTGCGTAAATTTAACGTTCCTCACCCAAATAATTTCCCAGGTATCTAATAGTACCGGTTCACCAAAGTTTTGTGCCCATTTAAATCATACATTCTTTGACTAACTCTGTTTCTGAATTCAATTCTACTAAGACCCCATAAATTCTCTTAATGTGAGTTCGCCTTTGATCTTTTATTTGTTTAAACAAATTCTCATCTTCTCTAAGCAAACCCACATTCCGATCTATCTTCCACCTATCCATTATTTGTCTGTAGTGAAACCATGAATATATAATATTTTCCTGTGCCAAATCTTCCATAGATTTTACCATCCCACCTGAGTAATTGTGCATAAGAAACACTATCCATCCTGATCCCTCTTCTTATCCCTTCTATCGCATGCCATGGAATAGCCCATAGTGGGATTTTAAAATCATTTCTATAATATTTCCTCCAAACCCGAAGTAAGGAGGTCCTCATAATATGAGATTTGAAAGCCCTATCAACCTTTTTATTAAAAATTAGATAGGCATGCCATCCAAAAATTAAATCCCAACCCTCCAAGAGGAGTATTTCCACATTTGTTAAATTAACCCAATCACTTATTAATGTTAAAACCACTGCATCATAATACAACTTCAAATTCGGTACCTTGAGTCCACCTCTCTCACGAATATCTTGTATAATTTTAAGTTTTACTCTAGATTTTCTCCCTGCCCAGATAAATTTATTAATACCTTTCTGCCATTCATCTAAATTAACCTCATTCTTTAAAATGGGTATCATTTGAAATAAAAAAAAGAAACTTTGACAACACATTCATTTTAATCGCCGCAATTCTTCCCAAAAGAGATAATTGCAGCTTTTCCCAATTTTTCATATCTCTTTGTATATTGACCCACAGCCTTTCATAATTATTTTTGTACAGTTTTGCATTGGAAACAGATAAGGTAACCCCTTATTTTACCTTATTAACAACCTCAAAATCTGTCAGATTAACCAACACCTGCTTATCCAAATTAGTCATATTTTAGGCAATATTTTAGTCTTATTATTATTAATTTTAAAACCCGAAACTCGTCCATATTGATATATCAGTTGTAATAACTCTATTACAGAATGAGTAGGTTGAGATAAGGTAACCACCAGATCATCTGCAAAAGCTCTTAGTTTATATTCTTTCTTATTAACTTCTATTCCTTTTATTTGCTGTGAATCTCGGATTTTGATCAACAATATTTCCTAAGTTAAAACAAACAGCAACGGTGACAATGGGCAACCTTGTCTAGTCCCCTTCTCTATTGTAAACACCTCTGACAAACCCCCATTAACTATAAGTTGTGCCATTTGTTTTTGGTAAATAACACCAAGAGCTTGTAAAATTTTTTCTCCAAAATTCATTTTGTCAACTAATCTTAACATAAATTGCCAATTCAATTGATCAAAGGCTTTTTCAGCATCTAAAAATATCAATCCTGCAGGAATTTGATTATTTTTGTCTAAATATTCTAATAAATTAATAATTTGCCTAACATTAGTCTTCATATACCTTCCAGTTATAAAACCTGTTTGATCTGTATGTATAACATGATGCAAAACCCTCATAAGCCTATTAGCTAAAATTTTTGCAAAAATCTTGTAATCTACATTTAAAAGAGATATAGGTCTGTAATTCTTTGGTAAGGTAAGATCTTGATCTTCTTTTGGAATTAGAGATATAAATGCTCTACCCCATAACGGGGGAATCTGAGAACCCTGTAATATATTATTAAAAAGCTCGGTTAAAGGTTGAATCATTTCTTGTACCAGAGTTTTATAAAAAGTAGATGTCAAACCATCCGTACCCAGTGCTTTACCTAATTTTAATTCTTTAATCACCTTCTCAATTTCCGCACTGGTAATCAAACCATTAATTTCTTGTTTTTGAAATTCTGTTAATTTAGGGAAGTTGGCTCCATTTAAGTAGTTATCTATATCTAAAATCTGCACTTTGGTACTCTTGTATAATTTTTGATAATATTCAAAAAAAGATTTCTTAATCAAATCCTTCTGGTAAACCAATTTACCATTATAGTTTATTTTATCTATAGTTTTCTGTCTCTGTTTCTTTCTCAATTGATAAGCCAGCCATCTCCCTGGTTTATTAGCATTACAAAATGTATTTTGTTTCATATATAATAAATTAGTTGCAGTTTGATCAGCCATCAACATATTAAATTGTGATTTAAGCAATTTTATAGATTCTTTAACCTTCTCATCTATGGGATTTGAAATCAAAATTTTTTCTTTTAATTTAATCTCATCTTCCAGTTCATTACGTTTCTGAGTCTGCTTCTGTCTATAAATATTATTCATTTGTATCAAAATCCCTCGCATGAAAGCTTTACCTGCATCCCATACCATTGACATTGAAGTTCCCTTATGCATATTTAAAACAAAATAATCCTTTAAGTGCTCTTTTAACTTTTGAACATTCTTTTCTTGTCTAAATAAATTTTCATTCATCCTCCACGATCTCCTCTCCTCTTTTTCATCGACCAGTTCCATCCAAACTGGACTATGATCCGTCAATGTCCTGGGAAAAATTTTAACATTCTTTACCCTGAAGTATAAATCAGTTGTAATAAAAAAAAAATCAATTCTTGAAAAAGATTTGTGTCTATCTGAAAAAAAGGTAAAGTCTCTCTCCTCCTGATTATGTTCACACCAATAATCTCGTAGCTCCCAGTCTTCCTTCAAATCAAAAAAGGCTTTAGGTAGTTTAGCCTGTTTAAAGGAAATAGAAGATCCTTTTTTGTCCCTTTGTGTATCTAAAACACCATTCCAGTCTCCCATTAAAATGACGGATCTATAATCCAACAAAGTCAATTTTTGATGTAACAATCTATAGAATTGTCCCTGTTATTGGTTTGGTGCATAAAGTCCCACTATAAGTACTTTCTTTCCATACAAACCAACTTCAATCATAACAAATCTCCCTTGGGAATCAGCTTCCACCAAACTGGCTACTAAATTTTGCTTAACATAAATAACTACTCCCCCTTTTTTCCCAGGAGCTGAAGATACAAAATGAGATCCCAAACGAGGATTAACTAAAAAATTTTGATCTTTGGGTATAATGTTTGTTTCCTGCAAACAAATAATATCATTATTATGTTGCTTTAAATAATGGAAAATTTTCTTTCTTTTTTGGGGAGAATTGAGACCATTAGCATTCCATGTCAGGAGCTTTACCATCTCCCTTGACCAAAAGCCTGGAGAAGACTGCTTGAAGGTCTGCCATTGAAGAATGTACTGCAGAACTCTTAGGTCTTGCTCCTCCCACCGGCAACGAAGCAATTTCTTGAAGAGATTCTTTGTCTTCTTTCTTCTGTTGTTCCTTTTCCTTGCGTCTATGTGCTGCGCGAGTCATTCTTTGATCTTTGATCTCTGTTTGTTGGAACCACTGCGACTGTAGCTTTCCACCAGCCATCACTCCTGCTCCTTCAGACTGCTGTTCCACCTCTTTGCCATCCAAAACTTTCTGCATCATGAATGATGGTGAGCCTGCTCCCAGGACCGAACTATAAAATTCTTTTGCTTTAGAAACTGTATTAAGTCTATAACGCGTCCCCGCATGGCTCACAACAATACCCATCGGAATTTCTCATCTAAATGGAATCAATCTTTTTTTAAGCTCATTAGCTAAAAAGGCAAACTCTTTTCTCTTTCTTAAATTTTTAGATGGGATCTCCTTTAAGATAATGACATCTTGGGCAGCAATCTGGAACCTTTTATTATAAAAGGCTTGTATAATTTCATTACGCAGAGATCTCTTTGCAAAGTAAATCACCACATCTCTTGGTAAATTTTTTTGTTTAGCAATCCAAGAGTTAACTCTGTAAATTTTTTCGATTTCTCTAAATATTTCCTCTTTCTCTCTATTCAAAATAACAGCAAAGTCATTTACAAGAATCTCAGTCAGATCTTGCTTATCATCTTTCAGGCCTCTGATTCTTAATGCATGTTCCATCTCACGGTACTGGGACATAAGAATATCCTCTTGTGACATTTCCATCTTTCTCTCCATACCTTCAAACTTTTCTTCCAACATATCCGCCTTCTCTGCCACTTCTTCAACTCTAGAGTCTAATTTCTCAACCACAGAGGCAAGTCCTGTTAAGGCCGTAACTATATCCTGCCTCAAAATAGTATTATTCTGTTCTAAAAGATTCTTCATTTCTCCTCTGATTTGATTTTTGTTCTGATCTAAGAGCTCCTTCATTTCCCCTCTGATTTCAGTTTTGTTCTGATCTAAAAGCCCCTTCACTTCCTCTCTGATTTGAGATACAGCATTTCCCATTATATCTTTCATATCTTGTACCGTTACTGCTGACAGAGGTGGAGAAGATGGTGGTGTAGCTTTAGGTTGTTGTACCGGTAAGATTGCTGGAGAAGAAGCCACCTTAGAAACTGTAGCAGCTGCTTGCCTCTTTGAAGCCATTTTCAAAAAAGAAAAAAAAAGTCTTATTTCTTCTTTCTTCCTTCTTAAAAATAAAAGTAATCCTCAAAAGAAAGAAAGGAGAGTTTAAAAAAAAGAAAGAAAACACCAAAGACAAATCCACCTTCAAAAGGAAAAAAAAGTTTTAAAAGAGAGCTGTTTAATCCATAACGTTACAGTCTCTTTCACTTTCTTCCGGAAAAAAAAACTTCAAATCGCCATTTTACTTTCACTCTCCAAACAAAGAAAAAAAGCAAAAGAAGAGAAATAAAAGGATCACATTTCAAACTAAAGTCCAAATAAAGTCCAATAAATGAAATCCTTTATCCAGCTCTGTCCGCTTTTAAAATAACTCACCAGTCTCCTTTAAGCACGGAGGTGGCCGCAGCGTTTTGCTTTGATCCCGAAGGATCAAAGGCAGCTGGGAGGCGGAGGCACCTGAACTCCGAGGGAACTCTCTTTTCACCCCCCAAAAAAAAATCTGGGGGGGTTAAGAGGTTCTACCTCTATTCAGGTGATACTCCTCTCCCTCCCTTCGCCCAGGAGGGAGATTTTAAACAGCTCCATCCAGTGATTCTTTATATCACTTTTTCTTTAATTGCTTTGCTTTATTAAAACTAAAGAGCACCTTTTTATTCTAAGTGGCTGTAGCAAAATCTGAGCAGAAATCCAATCTTCTTTCCTCCACCATTGCATACAGTTCCATGCAAATGTATCTGTTTTAAATCAATTTATGGCTTTTTCCATCTGTTAAGACTATGAAACCATTTTCCAAACTTAATACTGCTTATATAAAATGGATAACTGTTTCTTGATGGGGAAAATAATAATTCCAATCTAATTCTAATCTCAGAGTATAATGTTGGGTGAGGTAGTTCTATAATTTCTATATTATTATAGTGATCCCAAGGTCCAATTATGAGAATTTCCACAAATTTCTTTGGAAACATTTCACTTGTACAATGTTTTCACTGCAGATTGAGAGAAATACTTCTATTATACTAAGACACATGGTAACCAAAACAAAAAATATTTGTAAAAGAGCACCTAAACCCATTGGTTTCATGCCAAATCTTTTGTTCAAGGATATTTTACCCTAAAAATTTACTGCAGTAAATTTAATTCTGTGGTACATTCTAAAATGTTTTTCATACTTTTTTTCTCCTTGTGTGCCTTAAGCTACTGTATATGTGACTCCAGGCAACTATATATATATATATATATATATATATATATATATATATATATATATATATATATATATATATATGTATGTAGGTCTTTGGAAGTGTCTTGAGGCTGGTGCTTTCAGCTTCGTGCTTTGAATTGCTGCATATTGCTGCTCAAAGCATGAAGCTGAAAGCACCAGCCTGAAGATGACGAATGGGACTTCGTCGAAACGTCGCCAAGACACTTCCAATTTTATGTGGGAGAAAACCCAAACAACCAAAGACCAACATACAAATACCTGCGAAAACCTCAGAAAATATATATATATATATATATATATATATATATATATATATATATATATATATATATATATATATATATATATATATAATTATTGATTTTTTTTCATACATTCAGTAGTACTTGTTCAACAAATATATTGTCTGAGTTTTACATTCACTAATACAAATTTAATTCCTAATCCTTTATTCTTTCTCTAGCCATTGATAAAATAAGTCCCAGGTTTAATAATATTCTGTTTCTTCTTTTTCTTTCAACTTCGAAGTAAGTCTGTCCATCTCCACACATTCTAGTTCTTGCTGTTTTCTTGGCAAGATTTCAGAACTGGTTTGTGTTTGTCCCCTTCCTAGGGCTGAGAGAGAATGACTGGTCCAGCTGGCTTTATGCCTAATGCAGGACTAGAACTCAATCTCTAGTCCTGCATTAGGCAGGACCCCTTAACCATTGCACAAAGCTGGCTCTCTTTCATACCATGCATCATGGCAATATCAACCCCAGGCAAGGGATGGAGAAATAAGGAAAAAAGTGTTTTCATCTTCAAAAATGCCTCCACCTCTTTCCAAACAGTTTCAGGACTGTTGTTGGTTACTGTGAGACATCCAGTAATACAGATAGGTTATGCCATTTGAAAATTAGGTACTTAAAAGTAACATTCAAAACTCCAGGAAAGAGAAGATCTTATTTTGCAATCAGGAAATTACAAAGTCTTTACAGAAGCTGAGTTGTCTTTTCTAATTGACACCATTTTCATCAGAGTATCACATAGTATCAAATTGCTAGTGAGGGGCATGATGAAAACCTTCAGGTACTTACCACCCAGATCATAAATCAGCTGAAAACCAGAAAGATCAAAGGCAGAGACCACTTCTTTTCCATGCAGGCTCCAAGCTTCATCCATGTATCTGAAAAAACTTTCAATGCCTTCCTTTGATCTAGAATTGAAATTTGTACTGGCAGGTAATCAACAGAAATACAACAATATGAAATACAATATGATTAACATCTGATTGTAAAGCTATATTTCATTATGGGCTATGCCTCCTGCAGATTTTTGTGATAATATTTTGATTTTAAAGAGCAGATTGCTTAATTTCTGGCCTGAAGATAAATAGCATTTATCATCCATTTGGGGGCTGGATCAGTTTTTCCTATTTCCAACCAGTGAAGTTCCTAGTCAGAATTGCTTAATATGCTAATATGTGTCTCAGGCTCAGCTGTCTTTGAAGAATGTCAAAAATAGTCCAACAATTTTGTGGACATAAAATACAGGATTTGGGATCATCTGTGTGTAATCAATTAAAGCATCTTTGTTCCTATAATGTACTAACTGCAGATTCCACCAATTCAGATATAGTTGACCTAGCTCTAGCTACAGAATCCAGTTCTCCCTTTTCAAAATTAATTCTTGGTCATTGAGATAGGTTGTAAGAATATCCCAGTCCTAGCAAAGAGAGATTGAAGACTGGAACAAAAAAAACATCATAAGACAAAAAAGACAAGGGCACTTTGTACCTTACTCATGCTTCACTAAGATCCAAATGTAGTTATTTTTCATACTATTCCTTTTCAGGGTAAGCAATTTTATGCAAAGGAAAGGAAATAATGAATAGATGAGTTGGAAAGCAGAAGATAACAACATTATGAAAACACTATTCATCACATCTCTCCACACCTTCTTCTACTTGCAAACCATCCATTCTTCCACAATTTCTATAAAGTGGTGATGAATTGGCTGATAGATTGATTTGCAACCTAGTCTCCAAACATGTGATTGTAGTTGGATGGAATAATGTGAGCATCATCAGAGCATATCTGGGCTTTGGTTCTGCTTGTGGTACAATTGGCCAGAATCAGTGTTGGTGGGTAGTGCTGCTAATCTACTCTATTAAAAACTGTCATGAAAATATTTGCAGAATTTCAAAAGTGAGATATGGTAAGAAAAAAAGCCAAAGAACTATTTATGCCTAATCTTTATAAAATTAAGTCATAAAAATGCTCTTTACCTGTACAGTGCTCCATAACATTCATCTGAAGAAATGCCATATATTGATAGAATCTGAGGTTTCCCATCCCTGAAGCAGATTTTTTGTTTGTTTTTTTAAAAAATTGAAAGTAACAAAAATACCATTAGTGATTATATTCTTCTTAGTCTCCAGCATCAAATAATGCTTATATTCATATAGCGAATTGTATTACTTGCAAAAGTTACTCTAAAATATCACAGGCTCTAAACAATACTAGAAATCTGTGAAGTCAGTGAATGAAATTTAAATTTTTATGTCCATGTTGTTTCACTACTTTTTTTCATTATTAAATCGTATTAAGATAAAATAAATTCCTTTAATCAATTCTTTTGTTATTTTTTTAATCTGAATTCAGATATTTGATAAAATCAGTTTTACTTAAATCATTTCTAAATTAAAATGCTAAGACAATGTAAACTTTTTAATCAGATTAAAAACCTTAACCTAAGTTAGCTTTGTCTTTGTGTGTGTGTGTTTGTGTCTGTGTCTGTGCAGGCATACCTTTGTTTGTATGCCTGCACAGGGCAAAACAGTCACAGCCCTGATGTAACCAAGGGATCTGGCCAAGCTACGGACAGAACCATACCTTTGGTATATAAAACAGACATCACGCCTTCCCCAAAGAAGTCTCCAGATGAACAAATACCGAGAAGCGTTCTTTCGAATCCTCATCCAACTACAAAAGGCCTGACTTGCCCAATGCACAAGTCTTCTCACTCTCTAAATGATTGCAGAGAATTTAGGAAAAAACCCCTAATGACCGAAAGACCCTACTCAAAGAGAATAGGATATGTTTCAAATGCTGTGACTCTATGGATCACATGGCCAAGGACTACACAGCTAAGGTGAAATGCCACCTGTGCAACAGCGACAGGCACCCAGCAGCCTTACACCTAGAACCTAAGACGCTGTCTAAGGAGTCACAACAAGCAACTAGCTCTACACCAGACTAATCATCGACCTAGTCCTGTTGCTAAAGAAGACCAAATTAGAAAATTGAACCTCTTCAGTTCCAGCTGTTGTTCCTGATTTTTCAGCTCCAGCTGTTCCTGAGTTTCCAGATGTTCCTGATCCTGATTCTTCAGCTCCAGCTGTTCCTGTGTTTCCAGATCCAGCTATTTATGTTTTCCAGGTTCTTCAGTTCCTGAGTATCCTGTGAATCCAGTTCCCTTTGTTCCTGAGAAACTTTCAGTTCCAGGTTTTCTATTCCAGATTTGATTCCAGTTTCCTTCGCAGGAAGAAGACCTTGTCTCACTAGGAGACAAGACTGCATACCAGAACTATTGGCCCATGGGACTTGCGGGCCCACCCACTTGACGAATTAGTTTGCCCAGTTGAGGTCCAGATCGTAAAGCCATGTGAGCCAGGTCGTGACTCAAAGACACTTGTACCAGGCTGATCACCGATTTGGTCCCGTTGCTGATGAAAGCTGAACCAGAAGATCAAACCTCAAATTATGTATTGTCTTATGCATTGTTTGATGTAACACTTGCCCTTTTCGCATAATTGTGCATGTTTTATATTTACCTTATAGTTATGCACGTTTGATACCAAGTTTTACCTATTTAGTCACAAGTTAGTTAAATGTGAGTATTGCATGCCTTGATGCTATGTTTTTACTATTTTAGTAGTGGAAATATAAATTTCCAAGCAGGGAGTATTCTGGAACGTATATGTAGCCCTAACTAGAGAGCAGGTATCAGTGTGTCAGAGTGTCTGGCAGTTATTGGGTTAAATGCTAGGTATGTGGATGGGTCAGTGGGAGGAGTTCCAAAGGTCATTGGGAGACTTCCTGGAAACAAGCCATATGGGAATCTCTTTGTCTGTAAGAAGCATGGACCATGGAAGGTCACACAATGAGCCTGAGTAGTTATAAAGATGGTATGAAGAGCAATATTCTCTTATCTAAAGGGATGGTCTAAAGATGGACAAAGATGTATTTTCAGGAGTATCAACCACAGCGTGAATGCAAGTAATCTTTCTCATTAAAATATATTTTGTTTATTATAAGATCGTTTCTTTTGAGTTAACTATCTGACTGGATTTAAAAGAAGGCACTTTAGATTTGAGTCAGAATAGTATTTTTGTTGTTGTTGTTAATTGCGAAGTCATGTCCGACCCATCACGACCCCATGGACAATGTTCCTCCAGGCTTCCTGTCCTCTACCATCTTCTGGAGTCCATTTAAGTTCACACCTACTGCTTCAGTGACTCCATCCAGCCATCTCATTCTCTGCCGTCCCCTTCTTCTATTGCCCTCAATCTTTCCCAGCATTAGGCCCTTCTCCAGTGAGTCCTTCCTTCTCATTAGGTGGCCAAAGTATTTGAGTTTCAACTTCAGGATCTGGCCTTCTAAAGAGCAGTCGGGGTTGATCTCTTCTAGGACTGACCGGTTTGAACGCCTTGCAGTCCAAGGGACTCGCAGGAGTCTTCTCCAGCACCATAGTTCAAAGGCCTCAATTCTTTGGCGCTCAGCCTTTCTTATGGTCCAACTTTCACAGCCATACATTGCAACTGGGAAAACCATGGCCTGGACTATACGCACTTTTGTTGGCAGAGTGATGTCTCTGCTTTTTAGTATGCTGTCTAGATTTGCCATAGCTTTCCTCCCCAGGAGCAAGCGTCTTTTAATTTCTTGGCTGCAGTCCCCATCTGAGGTGATCTTGGAGCCCAGAAAAATAAAATCTGTCACTACCTCCATTTCTTCCCCATCTATTTGCCCAGAATAGTATAGTATACCTTATTTTAATTGTGATGCTTCTGACATGAGTAAACAAATTCAGACTGGCGAGACTTTTAAAACCAAGAATAAATTATGCTTTATTCATGGCAATATTTATATTTATTTATAATAATAAAAACAAATGCAAACAGCGCTGAGTCTTGGAGAAAAAAAACCCCACTGTGCTTTCAGTGAAATGGCACAAAGACATGCCAGCATCCTTGGCACCCCCTTACTTAGAGTATATTTGTCTCAAGTAGCAACTGTGTGAATGGACCTGAACTTATACTATTCTCCTGGGACAAGTTAGGAATTTCCCTCCAAGGAGCAAAAGAACCACAATGATTGTGAGATGCAGTTTGCAACTGCAGAATGTGAAACATGACTTCTTGAATCATGGGATTAGCCATTCTCTCAATCCTGGCCTAAAAGATTGATAAATATTATCTATTAAACCAGGAGAGGGCTTTCTTCTCTCACACCTACCCATTCCACACTTTTTAACTGCAAAACATAATGTAAAAAGAATGGGTGACAGAAGCTGCTTCTCTCTGGATATTTGTTGGCTCAAGGCAGAGGTGGTGGGCAGGAGAATATGGTGGTTACCTAGTAATTCACTGGGCTGCACTGTGTTATCAACAGCATGAATAACCTTGGATGACAAAAGGAAGAGAACCAGCCTAGAGAAAGATCTGAGAAATGACATCTGAATCCAAATGAAGCACCTCAGAAGGGACTCTTGCTGGTTTTCTGTAAAAGGAGAGGAAAGCTTTCTGTTGCTTCAGGTTTATAATAAACGTAGCATTAATACTCACAGTTTTGTGTTTCTATCTAGAGTCCTCCAAAAGCCTCTGCTACTGTGCATTTCAGGGTTAGCAGGAGAAGGGGAGAACTAGGTTTTATAAAGCGATCCCTATCTAAAAATTGCTCCATTTCCATGTCTCTTGCAAGACTGAAAAACCAGTGAGAGCCAGGACATGAGTGCTTTAAAAACAGCAACCACACAACCAGGATCTTGCTGTTTGTTCTGCTTCATTTCCAGAACAGAGTGTTCAGATTTGAAACCAAAAGCAGCATGTGCTTAAGGAGAATGTCTGGGCATCGGAGAAGATAGCCTTAGGGAAGAGCTGAGCAGGATCTGGTTCCAAGCCTTAAGATAGCACCAGCAAGCAAATGGGGGTCCTCCTCAAGAATTTATTTCAGAGAAAAGAGAGAACACTTTGTACAAACTAGAATAGTAAAGAGAAGAAGATAAGGAAAGGCAAAAAGACACATGGCCTTTAACTCCTGTTAGTGAGACATGTTTAGGCTGTTGTTAGCAGGACCTGAAGAGGATCCAGTTTCTAGATGTGTAGAGTCCATTTGACTGAGTGCAATCACCGTTCTTTCAAAATTCATTAGAAAACTCTTGGACTCTTTCAAGCTCAACAGTTGCAGCCATCTATTGCTAAGTTCTCCTGTGATACATGGGACGTGTTAATAGCAAGTCTTTTCTATTTTTAGTAGTTAGCTTCTAAGTTGTTTTCTATCTAAAAAGACCATTGCATTTTTTCTTTTGGCAGTGTTTAGTTTCTTCTCCCCTCTGATAGCACTGTATTATCAGAAGTTGTATTTGGATTGGGCTAATTTAAACTTGGCTCATGTCCCATGACTCTATGAGGAAAATGCTATTTCTTTTTCACACTTATGCTAGTCCCAGTTGCCACCCCACTGAAGTTTTCAGAGCTAATGTTTCCTTCCAGGGCTGTGTCCCCTGGGATGGGGAAGACTGTGGTTGGTTACATTTATCCTTACTGCCATCTCCATTGCTGCCATCAACAAATCAAGACATTGAATTTTGGAACTTTTTCTTCAATATTGAACAGGAAGGAAACTGGGGCAAGGCTAATGTCACACCTGCCGCAGTCAGGTCCCTTAGGAAAGAAAGACCCTCAACTGCATTTTGGTGAAGTGATAGTTTCTTTTACTAAAGGTTGCTGGTTGCAGTAAAGTCAAACCAGAATTAAGATTCATTGGTACAATGAAGTATAATCTTCAGTACCTCTGCTAAGATGTAAATTGTATAAGAAACATCAGACTTATAAATTATATTGGTTGGTTGAAGAAACTTTCCAGATGAAGTTTGAATGACTCAACTCATTTCTATCAGCTACTATTTTCTTGAAATTGTCAGTTTATTACTCTTTTTTTCCCATTGTATTGTTTAAAAGAAGATTTAGGAAAAAGAGAAATATGATCATGAATTCAGTGTTGATGGAACTCTGAGAAAAAAAATCCCCCCAAATCTTTTTGTCTTAAGATTTATATTGGGCCCAAGTAGCTCAAATACAGTAGAGCTGTTCCTAAGTAAAGCTTCAATTGGCTTCATTGCAGAGTTTGTTTCAGCTGTTGTGGACAGTTGTGGTTATTCTAATAGTGGAGGAGGCCCACCTGATGAAGATTCAAGAGAGATTACAGGGAAAATGTTAATATTTTCACATTGTAAGAACTCTATACCACTATAAAGAATTTTCCTGTTCATTAAGATTTCAAACAGTCCTGATTTTTAGGGGGCAAAAATGATTTCTAAATATCGCTAAACCAAACAAGAATTCAAACAATATGACATTCTACAAGTCTACTGAATTGTTAAATCGTGACTTTTAAAGCCAGTAAAGTACATAAATGCATTTGTAAATAATGTATTTCTTGACAAAGAATTGTGTATGTGTCTTCCTCCAGACAGTGACATGGCAAGAAGATATTTTGGCATCCTTGACACCCCGTCACTTGGCATCCCGTCACCATTAGTGCTCAGCAACAAGCCATGCAAATGGATCTGACCTTGCACTATTCATTTGGGACAAGCTATGGATTTCCCTCCAGGGAGAAAAAGTACCTCCCCACCACCACCTCCACCAAATGACTTGGGATGCATTTGGGGCTGGAAGGCAAGGTGAATCTTGACCAATGGTTAAAATCAAGGGTTTACCCTTCTCTCAATCCTGATCCAAATTGTCTAATAAACCAGGAAAGGTCTTGCTTTACAGGAACAGCCACACATTGCCTGCAGAATTTCATCCCAGGGTTAGAAAATAGAAGCTTCTGGTCTCTTCATATCCTCTACTAAGCAATGCAACTTCCATCCCATCCAGGTAAATTGTCTCTTCCAAAACCTTTTCACCACCTTCTCAGCAACTTCTCCGAAAAAGGGAAAGTTGGAGACATGCCCATAGCTGTGGTTGGTATAAAATTGACAAAAGATCCACATGGTTATTCTGGAAACAATGATCTGCAGTGTTTCCTGTTATCAGTTAAGACAGTTGCGTTCTCTACTGTGCACCATTAAACTTTAAGAAGAAACAACTGAGGAAATCTCTGTCCTATTTTGATCAAGTCAGGATCAATTCTTAGTGACCACATATATTTTCTCCATGACTTTCTGTCCCTAACTTGGTCTTTCAGTTTTTCTAACGGTGCATTCCCTGCCATTGTAACTAAGAACATCAACCTTGCTACAGATCATCCTCTTTCCTTTCCTTCTACTCTTCCCTTCATTAGATCCTTCTCCAAAAAACTAGGCCCCCAAATCCAAACTTTTTTGTAATGCCAATCATTCCAGATTTATCAGTTCTTTCAACTTCTAATCGCTTGTTTGAAAAACTATGCTTTTTTAAAAAATTCCCACCAAGCACCTCTTGACATTTCAGGATATTAAATTGCAGCAACTGCAATGAATGGTCATGTCTACAAAATGATACAAATGAAGACATAAAGAGTTTATGGTAATCGAAAACTGGTAAGCTGCAGTGTAGATTATGTAAATTGAGGAGCATTCAGAAAAGATTTGCAGTGTTGCATAATTTGTTTCATGTGTGTAAAGTTTGCATCTGAGCAGATGATTGAAACAAAGTGGAGTCCTTGGTGCCTCCTGAGTTCGGTTGTTCTTTTGCAGACATTTCATTAGCAGACTAGGTAACTGTTGTATCCTGAGCCTGCAAGAGCTGAAAGCAGGCTCAGAATGGTTGCAAATGGTCCCGGGCAATCCAAAAGCTGCCTGGAACCAGACAGGGTGGCGCCAGCCTTGTGCGCATGCACAAGGCATGAAAATGGTCAATTCCTATTGGTTCACACTGTCCAGATTTCAGGCACTATAAAAGGCCTGCGTGCCTTTTGCTGTTTGCTTGATTGTAGGAGAAGAGTAATAAAGAGCTTGTTGTTTTCACCATGTGTCTTCGTCAATTGCCAACAAACAGAAAACACAACACTAACACCTTCAATGATGAGACTGAAGGAGTCCGCAATTCAGTGAGCTACATACACTACATATGCACTTCTATTAAAACACTTATTCATTTCCTTATACAAACAATTAATACAAAAACTCTAAGGGGATTAGCTTACATTAGAGTTTTCTGAATTCCTTTGGTAGGATTTGTGTGCCATGATTTTGTACCCTAATTATGGTGATCAATGTAGTGGTAAAAAACAATCATCTACATATCTTGTTGATTTTGGAAGAAGGCAGGAATATATTTGTAATCCATCAAGAAAGTTATTACAGTAACTTTTTCTTAATCATTATCAGGAGGAAAGTAAATCTTAGCAGGTGGATAAAATTATGGGTTTAGCCATTTGTCAAATCTGGTTTGCACTATTTGAAAAACCAGGAGATATACTGCTTTACAAGGACTACTCACTCCATCCCTCACATTGTCTGCAGAACCTGATCTACAAGAATAGATAGTCAGCCTCCTGCTGACTCAAGGACAAGATGACAGGTAGGCAAGTCTGTGATTACCTGGTGTCACACCGTGCTACTACTTGCTTGTCACACATTTTAGAGACTGGCAGAAGTGGGAAGAGTAAGCAAACTGTGTCCTTCTCAAGATGTTACTTAACCCAAGAGGGACCACTTTTTTCAAACTGGAATAGCAAAAGAGAGGAAGATAAGAAAAAGCAGTAAAAAAAACCCCATATGTCCACTTCTCCCCTGTTATCAAAACACATTCAGGCTGTGGTTAGCTGGACCTAAATAGGAATCTGCCTCTAGAGGCATAAAGACTATTTGGTAGAGTATAATGGCCATTCTTTCAAATTTCATTACTGTTGGGATTTGAATATTATTTCAGTTTGGAAATCTGCTCAGCCCTTTCTTTCTTTCTTTCTTTCTTTCTTTCTTTCTTTCTTTCTTTCTTTCTTTCTTTCTTTCTTTCTTTTACTATTCTGGTTTATCTGACTTTACAATATAAATTGTATTATATATTAAATTAATTATACACACACACACACACACAAACACACACACACACACACACACACACATATATATATATATATATATATATATATAACATATAAATATAAAACTTTGGGAAAATGAAATAGGTCCTGTGACACAAACCAACCCAAATCACAAAGACAGTGATAATGGACTCAACACACATGCACAAACACATACAAAGAGCAAAACATGTTACCGCTACACCAACTTTCTGATCTGGGACGTCTGGAAACCCCCCTTCTAAAAATTCTTGGACTCTGTCAAGCTCATCAGGTACAGCTACATATTGCCTGCAGTTATAGAATAATTATTGGCTATTCCAGTTGCTTCCTATGTCTCATGGGATTACGTTTTCATTTTTCCAGTCCAGTGTCAGAAGCTTTAATCCCACACAGGGATCTAGCAGCTTCTGTATCTCACTGAGGCTGGTGTCAAGTACCTCCCAACAGTTGTGGAGAACAGCTGTTTGCCTAACTCTCTCAGGGTTCCGCTTGATTTCTGATAGTCAATGCCTTGGAGAGAACCCCAAGGAGTTGTGATTGTCTTGTATCCCAATCTGCACACAAGATCTGGGACATTATAGAGAGCTGCGGAGCTGGCCTTAAACAGAATATTCAAAAGCTCTTGCAGAAACACTAAGAGCAGAGGTATCCCTTCAGCCCTAGAAAATGAGACTTGCTTTGATTCCTCCTTGATGAAAAGGCCATTGGAGAAAAAAGGTAAAACATAAACATTCTTGCAAGATTCAGTTACTATAATGAAAAATAGTTCTCGTGTTCCTATGGAATTGGTTGTCTGGTCTGATCTAACTTGTAGATTTAACACACATATAGGCATCTTCCCCCCAAAGTGGGAAGTGCTGTATTTTACTATTTTTTACAACTGAGGCCTAGTAGGCATTCTAACAATAACCAACCAGATGATCCACAGTAGAGACATTGGTCTTTTGAGTAATGATATAACTTGTATTTGGCAATAGATAGTCCCCTGCAGAATTCCAAAATTTCAAGACTAAATTTCAAGACTAAATTACTTTATTCCAGGGTGAATATTATAGTAGAGGGATAGGGTTAGTAAATAGATAACAGGATTAGTATATTAAATAAATACATCTATATACTCACAGGTTAGAAACAATACAATAGTAAAAGCAATTTTATTATTGGAATTTTATTTTAACACTCAGTAGGAATAAAACAAGCTGAATATTATTTTCTGGCCAAAATGACATCAAAGACATTTCCTTTCTTGAACTGAATATCTTTAAAGCCAGCTGTGTTGAAGAGTATGCGATGCTCTGATACTTTCCGTGCTTTTCCTACAGTCTGAAGCAACAGTATCATGGCATATATATGACCAGGAAAAGACACAGATATTTCTTCATCAATAGTTGGTTCCACTACTAAGATTCCACCACCTGTTCCAAAAGTAATTTGTTAACTCAAAACTAAGTTGCCTATAAAAGAAGTGCTGTCTTTGAATCTTATTTTCATTCCTATGGCTGTGGCCCTTCTCCCACTACTTCCCCCCCCCTTCTAAAAATATTGTTTTGGACACTTTTTCAGTAGGCTAAATCCATGGTCCAATTTAGTGTCTTAAAAGATATTGAAATGTTATGCCAAATTGCAATTCCTTCAGCATTGCCTAACTCATAACATATGACCACTTCAGCCTATTTACCACAGAATTGTTCCCATGCTCTGCCTATATTTCATGATTGAAGAAACATGGAACTTCTAAGCAATCTTTCCTCAAATTAAATTCAGTAATAAGTGGCATTTCTCTGTCTTGGATGGTAATGGTTCAATGTTGCAACCCAAAGTGCCTATTTCTTCTGCAAGTTTAGATTTAATATTTCATAAATTTTGTTTGTGCTTTGAAAATGTCAAAGTTATCTCCAGGTGATTTTAAGTTTAAAAGTGAGCTATCACACATATTTTTCATGCAAACAGATCCATTTCTAATGTTATTATGTAGAAAAGTATGAACTGTCTGTATCCAAATCTATCCATAACTGCAATACATTGAGGATCAGCACTAATACAACTGATTTCTTTGCAACTACAGGTAATCCTCAACTCATGATTGTTTATTCAGTGACTATTCAAAATTATTAAGGTGTTAAATAAAGGGAGTTATGACCCATGCCTAAAGTGGTTGATTGGTTGGTTGGTTGGTTGGTTGATTAGATTCATGTACCACCCATTTCATCTAAAAGCTACTCTGGGCAATTTTGGGGGAAAATATGGCTATTGCATTGCCCTCCCCCCCAGTCATATGATAAAATATTGATGCTTGGCAATGCATTTACACCTCAAAATGCTGCTATCATATCCTGACCACCAATCTCTCTCCCCATCTCAGTTGTCACCTACCCCTCCAGTACACACAAAGCTCCTAGAATCCCTGAAAACCTGGCTCTGCTCCCTGCTCATTTCTCCCCACCCATCCAGAAGGCCAATGCTTTCTCCCTGCACCCCCCCCCCCCATGCCCTGGTCTATTACATTTGTCTTTTTGTGCATCTGTTGGCAGATTTGCCAAGCCAATGTGAGGCACAGCCAAACAGATAGAAAATAGCTGTTTCTGAAGAAACCCTACCACATAAAGCAGAGAGAACTCCTTTATGGGGTGAAGAAAGAAAACTAGATGCTGAAGAATTGAACTTCCTTTCTCTAGGCAATCACAGTGGTTCCCTTTTGAACATGGAGTGGAAGGGAACTCTTAATGTTGGGTCAGAGAAATGAAGCTCTTATCCTGAAGAGTTTATCCAAGTAAGTGCAGAAGTTTCTTTCCACAGATGGAGGCAAGGGGAACTTTTTCAGTAGACTGAAGAAAGGAAACTAGGATGCTGAAGATCTGAACTTACATTCTTTGGCCCAGCACAGTGATTCCCTTCCACACATGAGGGCCAGGGGAAGGCCTGCAGTGGGTCAGGGAAACAAAACTCTGTCTCCAAGGAAGATGTGTTATAATTCTTCCAAACAGATTTATTTATTGTTCCACATTTATAGACAGAATTTTGCCAAACTGAAGTGGACTACTACCTATGTCCATGATGGTGAACCTATGGCATGCGTGCCACAGGTGGCACGCAGAGCCCTCTCTGGGGGCACATGCGCCATCACCCCAGTCCTAGGACTTCAGTCCCGTCCATGGGCAACTTGCATCAATACCTGCACAGGGTAAGGTTGCTGCACCCGCCCCACCTCCCCAAGTGTTTTTTTACTAGCCTGCCTTTCAGCTGCATTCCATTTCTCCATTCACTTCTCAGCCTTCGCCGCGTGTTTGTGGGACTATCGATAAAAAAAAAATTCCATCAGACTTTCTAACTTCTCGCGAGATCTCAAGAAGTTAGAAAGTCTGATGGAACTTTTTTTTTACCGATAGTCCCACAAACACGTGGGGAAGGTTGAGAAGTAAATGGAGAAATGGAATGCAGCTGAAAGGCAGCTTAGTAAAATAATGCTTGGGGGAGGCAAGAGCATCTGGGCTGGGCAGGTGCAGCAATCTTACCCTGCGTGGTGATGAGAGGGTGTAGCTTGTGTCCTTCCCATGCCAGGCCAGCCCCTGCAGCCCCGGGGTGGCTGTGCTGGGTGGTGGTGGGCAGGGTGCTGAGGTGGGGGCCAGCAGGCTAACCAAAGCAGCAGGTGGAGCGCTGGAGGCTCAGGGAGGGCGGGCGCTGAAGTGGGCGATCAGGCCATTGGCAAGAGCAACATGTCTGAGCAGAAAGCAGCCTTGGAACAAGTGGGGCAGGTAAGGAAAGAAATCCTCACTTCCCCCAGAAATTGCCTTTCTTTCCTTACCTGACTTTCAGCCCCGTGCCATTTATCCTTCGCAATCCACCGCCACCATGTGCAAGGAAACAAAGGAAGGTCTTTTGGGGGGGAAAAAGGTCAATCAATGAATTTCATCTTCTCATGAAAGATCATGAAGTTGGAATTGATTTATTGACCTTTTTCCCCCAAAAACCCTTTCTTTGTTTCCTTGCATGTGGCAACGGCGGCAGATTGCAAAGGAGAAACAGCACAGGGCTGAAAGTCAAGTAAGGAAAGAAAGGCAATTTCTAGGGAAAACAAGGATTTCTTTCCTTACCTGCCCCACTTGTTCTGAGGCCATTTTCCGCTCAGACGCGTTGCTCTTGCCAATGGCCTGACCGTCCACTTCAGTGCCCTCCCTCCCTGAGCCTGTGGTGCTCCACATGCTGCTTTGGTGGCTCTGTAGGCAGATCTGCGAAGTTTCACAGCTCTGCCTACAGAGGCACCAAAGGTGTAGCTGAATGAGCAAGTGAGGGGGAAACCATAGCCGCTTTCGGCCGAACCGCATTGCAGCAGCATTGGGTGCAATACGTGAGGTGGCAAACAGCTGTGTCATGCTAAAACCAGCAGTTTGGCACCTCCTGCCCAGTGCCGCTGCCATGAAGTGCCCCTCTGGCTCCTAGGAGCTGTGCTAGCGTCCTTCGTGCTGGGCATTCTTTGCGGTAAGTTTCTGGAAAGATTTGCAATGGGGGTGGGTGCAACGTGCAAGAGGGAAAATGGCTACAGCCAGTGGCAAACA